TGAGCCATTGTCACTACATACAAAGTGTCTAGGATAACCAAGTAAGGAAAATGTATCAACCATGGCACCTGCAACGGTTTTAGCCTTTTTGTCTACTAGAGGCTTCAGTACGCAGAATCTAGTGCAGATGTCGACTAGAATTAACACGTATGTATACATGTTACTACTTGATTGGAAAGGTCCCATTAAATCAAATGCGTAGGCATCTCCAGGAACATATGCGTAGACAGGTCGATGAGGATTGTAACCCTTTCTAGCAATATTGTACTTTTGACAAGTATTGCACTTGCTTACATAGTCAACCGCATCAGCCAATAGATTAGGCCAATGAAGGTTTTTATTGTGGATCGCTTTCACAATGTGATCCGCTCCAAAGTGTCCAAGCTTATGCACTTCATCAATGATCTCTTTGTGATCTTCCACCGGTGGAATTATGTAGTTTTTATCGCTGAACTTGGAGGGATTCTGTACGTAGAAAACCTTTTTGTTTTCTTTTATCGTTTTTAATTCATGTTCCTTTCGTATATTAGGTTTATAAGCAAGATTTTGGCGTTTTCCTTTGCTGTCATCCATATCACACCCTGCCAGTCCTTTTTCAGAAGGAAAAAGACGTGATAAAGCATCAGGTAAAACGTTTTGAACACCGGGAATATGGACGATGTCAAAATCATAGGACAATAATGTGCCCATCCAACCAACCATCATAGGATTAAGTTCATCTGATGTGAACAGGTATGTGAGAGCTCTATGATCAGAGTACAACGTAAAATGATTGCCATATAGAAATTTATGAAACTTCTTCAAGGCGAATACAATGGCGAGGAGCTCACGGCGAGTTGCAGAGTAATTACGCTCTGACTTGGATAGCGATCTAGCCATGAAGCCAATGTACCTGATGATGGTGGTAGTAGATCCATTTGATAGATTGTCATCAAACTTCTGAAAAAGAACTGCACCAATACCATAGTTAGACGCATCAGTAGCGACGTAAAATGGCTGAGTTGTGTCTGGATGACTGAGTACAACATTGGAGCGTAGAATGTTCTTTATACTTTGGAAATGAGCTTCCAATTCAGGTGTCCAATCGATGTCGTCAATGTGTTCGACATTACGCAATGCGTCGAGAGGAGCAGTAAGTGAAGCAGCTCGAGGTATGTGAGAGCGGAAATAATTGACTGTGCCGAGCCATTGCATCATTTGCTTGCCAGTCTTGGG